GGTGCCCGAAGAGAACTTCATCTCAGAGAATTTCCATCGAGATATTGAGAAAGTGCCTGACTTCCTTAATCGCATTGCGAGGCAGCGTCGTTCACAATGCCATAGTGAATTGCTAAGAGTTCTGCTACAAGGCATGGCAGACAGGAAGGTCGGAATATATTCCATGTATCATGACATTACAGTGCACACCTACGGCCTCGCGGACGCGAGGACGGTACGCTTGGCGCATATGTGAGTGTATATGTTCCGCACATTTGACTTGCTGATCCGAGCTTCAGGTTCACTCACCTCCTTGACTCGGATAAGACTGGGCTACGGCCCAAAGAGGAGGTTGTGAAGGCCGATCGCAGGCAATTCGGCGCAGCTGTCCCTGACTGTATGAAGAAGGATGTCGATCCCGACATGGAACAGTTCGGCCAGAAAATAAGGCTGCGGAGACGCAAGGAGCTCGGATCTTGCATACTTTGCCAACTGATGGACGCTGGCAAAGAGGAGAAGGAGCAACTCCTTATCAAGTACAATCAGCACAAAGACAAGCTGAGTGAACGCGATGAGGACGTCATCGGGCCATGGGACGATGCCAACCGACGTGCAGCATCCAACGCACCAGGAGCGGAGGTCTTAAAGTCGGATATGGCCATCGTGCGGGCGCATGTTGACCGCGCACTCGAAGCTTGGAGAAAGGTTTCTTGGAATGACTTCGCAAAATCGCCCACTAAAAGCCTCGGGAAACGGTCCAAGGGCGGAGGCACCACCAAGAAGTCCCGGCAGGAGACCGTGGATGAGATTGCGGCTCAATTCCATGAGGCTCCTGCGGGGATTTCGATAGTGACGAGTGCGAACGAAGTAAGGCGGTGGAAAGTCGGTTATGCTATGAAACAGAATCCGAAGTTCGCCTTTGCTGTTGCTTTCTGGGACGTCTGTGGCATCAAGGCCGAGACTAAAGGACGATCAACTGCTACAGCTGCCATAGCAAGCCTCAGCAACATTCCACCTTCTGTACTCAAAGTTCTCCAGCCCGCAGAGGACCCTTGAAGACAAAGCATTATCTCCCCGATGGAGTGGCGTCGCCACCGAGAGCTCGTCTTTGACTCAGCCCTTTGGATCTCCAGTCTTCATCCTCCCCCACCCGTCATCTCCATCAGCTGTATGAATGTAACCCTCTAGATTCCACGTCGGCTCTCCTCTCTTCAAGTCGATATCAGCTTTTTCTTCACTGTCTCGTACTTTCGCCCATTCAAGTTGGTCTCCGCGCTTGCCTCTCTCGTGACATCCATTAGCTTTCCGGATCTATCCGGTTCGTTTCGACGTCGACTCTATTCCGTTCTGCTTGGATATTGCGTCTATTCATTCTTGCCTCAGTACTTTTTTATCATTGGTCTTCATTCCTGCCACTCCCGCGACATCGATCGGCTCTCCCGCTTGGTTTCCACGTCTATTTTGCTTTGCTGTGCTTGGGTACGTTGGTGTTGTCTGCGCTGTCATGAATTTGTATCGGCTGTCTATCTCTCTTTTGACAATGAACGAGTGATTCGGGACTCTACTCGTTGACTGGTTCAGGTGTCTACCCTTATCCGTCCTCAGATCTCTTTCAGGGGACACTTATTAAATGCTAAGTTAGACCCTTCTCCTGTTCGGCACGATGCCCATCTCGAGATAGTCCACTCTGACGGGCTCCACGACCATCAGGGCGAAGTTGCTGAACGCCTTCTCCCATAACGCCCGCTACTCCTCGTTCTTAGCCTGGTCCCACTTCGGTACCTTCTCCACCCACTTCTTCGACTCTTCGTACCCGCCCTCGAGCACGCTGCCTGGAGGAGGGCGCAGCCAGGATGCCTTCATGTGCCCGGACATAGACTCGTACATCTCCTTCCATTTGGCTTCCCAGTCGACTTTGTCTTCCTCCACGAGTGCCTTCATCCTGGGCAACGTTTTCCAGTCGAATCTCGCGTAGAAAGGGTGGGAAGGGGAATGGATTACGTAGGTCCTGGAGGTTATGCGGAATTGCTCAGATGTCTTGTCAATCCACCAGCACATCTCCGAGGACGACGAGGGATTAGTCGGATTGGAGATGAGTTCGGAAACCTTCGGCGTCCGGATGTCGGTGGAAGATATCAATAGCGGGTAATTGGGGTGTGATTGGGGGGTAAAGGTGGTCCTGTATATTTGTGAACGCGCGTGGGGTACGTTCTGTGCGTCGAACGTAGCAAGTTGGAATACTTACAACACAAGGCAAGTACGTGTAGCCGAGCTTTAGCTCGACTGATGTAACGTACCGCTGACTTTGTCATGCTTGTTCAGAGTCTTGTGCAAGGCGCGCAACCAAAGGGGGGATGCCATGGTACGTAGTTCAGTTGATACTGGGTAAGTAAAGCGGATAATCCAGCCCTCGTATGTATATCCTGTTGTCGGTTGAGCATACGATCAAGGCTGAAGTCAGAAGCGCTAATAACCAGCGGCTGCGGTCAGCCACAGGTCCGACGCGACGTGTCGAAAGGTCCAGCCCTGGACCCTTTGCAGCAGATCTTAGACTGGTCTCCGGGACTTGTCGGACCATTGACAGTGTGGTTGGTCCAGGCTTCACCTGTCCTCGTTGTGTCCTCGCGCGGTAGGCCTCAGGCCTCAGGCCTCAGGCCCTATCAGTGCTACTGAGGTTGTAGGCAGTGTACGAAGTCGTGAATCTCGGATGGTGTTCGTCCAGCTGCTGCTGATTTCTTGCCACGAGAGTCCTTGAGCTACCTTTCGCAGGTGAGTTGTAGAACTTCATTTTTCATCCGAGTTGTCCAAGGGAGAATTTTGCGTCCATCTACGCATACATAATATCGACTGTAACATCTGCTGTAACCTGTATGCAAGGACTGAGAGCGACGCACCCGCTTTCTATTCAGAAAGGACAGGAGGTACGTAGTAATGCGTCGTATATGAGACACTTTCATCCTCGAACCAGAGAAAAGTCTACAGTATCTCATGGTACGACAAGGTTCTCACCTCAACCCATATGTCCTCGGCCTGGTTCGTAGAAATCCTCCGACGCTGTGGTGCCATCCCCAGCTCAATTTAATCTACTTTGATGACCTCGAAGACTATCAGAGCGATATTTTTAAATGCTTGCTTCCACTTGATTCTCCACTCGTCATCCTGTATCTCCTGCCACCTTGGTAATGTCTCCTCCTATTTTTTACACTGTTCGTAACCCCCTTCCAAGGCGATCCCAGGGGTGGGACGGAGAAGATGCGCACAGTGTTCCGGAGAACTCGAATCATACTACTCCCTCCGCAAAGCTTCCCAGTCCATCTTGTCTTCTTCCTTGAATGCTCTCAAATAGGGTGAGGCTTTCCAGTCGAATTGGGCGTAGAGAGCGTGCGTGGGCGCCGGGATCACGTATGTCCTCGCAGTGATGCGGAGTTGCTCGCGCGTTTCTCTGACATAGAAGCATATCTCC